ATATATATATATATATATAAAACATAAACACGCACACCACATTTTCTTTATTCATTCTTCCATCAATGGCCACTTAGGTTGTTTCTGTGTTTCGGCTATTGTAAATAATACTACAAATGAACATGGTGGGGTGCACATATCTTTTCAAGTTAGTGTTTTCATTTTCTTTAGATAAATACTGAGAAGTGGAATTGCTGGATCATATGGTAGTTCTACTTTTAATTTTTTGAGGAACCTCCATACTGTTTTCCATAGTGGTTACACCAATTTACATTTCCACCAGCAGTGCACGAGGGTTCTTTTCCCTTTTCTCCACGTCTTCACCAACACTTGTCATCTTTTGTCTTTTTGATGATAACCCTTCTAACAGGCGTTATGTGACATCTCATTGTGGTTTTGATGTGTATTTCCCTGATGATCAGTGATGTTGAGCACCTTTCATGTACCTGGTGGACATTTGTGTGTCTTCTTGGAAAAATGTCTATTCAGATCCTCTGTCCAGTTTTTAATCAGTTTTTTTTTTTTGCTATTTGAGTTGTATGAATTCTTTATATATTTTGGAATATTAATGCTTTATCAGATATGTTATTTGCAAATGTTTTCTCCTATTTCCTAGGTTGCCTTGAAACAAAGTATTTTTGAACTTCCTTTCAGACTTCCCTGTTAATGCACCATACTTTGCAAGAGGTTATTGCCCTGGCTGTATACAATGTTGGCAAACTGTTAAAGTTCAAGCAGCAAATTCAGGGCTCTGGTTACCACTGGAGAGGGAGTCAAGGGGCAGGAACTCTAAGAGAGGGCTTTAATTGTATCTGAAATGTTCTTCTTTTTTTTTTTAATACAAGGCTGTGGCATTCATTATATGATATCATATATGATATTTATTGTATCATATATAGTATCATATTATCATGGATATTATATTATCTTGAATTTCCTGCTTATCATTTCCATGCTTATATTATCCATAAATAATAGTTTATTTTTGAATGTTTCCAGACTTTGTATATGTGAAATCATCAAATTTTATATGCCCTTTTTACTACCTTTTTTTTTTTTCCCCCTGCTGGACATTTTTTTGAGACTTGTCCATATCGATGCATGTCATTTTAGACCTCTGCATTAATATTCCATGGTATGAAGAGAACACAATTGAGGTATCTTTTCTGCCATTGATGGACATTGAGATTATTTCCTGGTTTTCACTCTTACAGACACTGCTGTAACAGAACCCGATCTATAGCTTTTCGTGCACAGGGGCCAAAGGTACTCAGAAGCAGACTTACTAGGTCTTGGGACATAGACACCTTTCACTTTGCTAGGTATTGCCATATTTTTCCTCAGTGGGATTTTTCTGCTTCACTTTCCTACTAGCTGCAGACGTGAGAAGGTGCGAGCCCACAATTTTACTGATCCTTGGTAGCATTATAGGGGTTTTGCTATCTCTGCGCAGATCTTCAGAGAAGATGCAAGGGGAGTGGGGAAGAGGGGAGGGCAAAGTTCTCCAATTAGGCGGAGAATGTCAGCACTGAGGAATTTCCCGTGACATTTACTTTAATGAGGCAAAGATTTTATTCTCTGTTTTGATGAAAATAATATTTAGACTTCTCTGGGAAAACTGTTACATTTGTGCTCTGATGTAGAGGAGTTTCTTTTTTTTCCCTGTTTGCATTCTTGGCAAATAAGTAGAATAGACCAATTAGCAAGCTAATGTCCTAAATGTTCACTTGCAGTAATAGTTATTTTTAAATGTTTTAAATAGCATGGAGCATTGGGTTTATTCTTACTGCTTTTCAAGGTTTTGAATTTATTAAAATGAATTTAAAATGAGACATAACTATGGTAACGGTTGATCATAATTCTTTGCCACTCTAATATGCATCTAGTAATGGAAAAATAAATGATGGGAAATGTGTTTACCTTTTAAAACAAATTAAGACAAATCATCAAGAGTAACTTTGGCCATTTTCTGTTGTCTCTTGTGTTCACAGGTGGGAAAGGAGAAATTCCACAAATCTCAACATTGGGGCTTTTGCAACAATGTTAGGATGCTGGTGAGTGAAGATAAACCAGGAATAGGTGGAGAACTGCTTTTTGGACAAAAGATAAAGCCAAAGTATAATGTATTTCCTGAAGAAATGGGAAATGACTTGCCATCCTGGGTGGCTTTTGATAAACAGGTAAGTCACATGACATTGGGAGACGTGCATCCTTAAAACGTTACATGTACTAAACATTAGATTTGAGAAAATAAGAGTCCTCTGTGTAAATAAATGTAAATGTGCTCATCTGAAATGACACATTCTAGAACAAAAGTACCCTAAACAGAGTTACCGCTGCTATTTCTGACCGGGCCTGTTGGTTGCAGGATGCCAGATGTTCATCGCCTTTCTTGGCTAGTGCTTATTAACCTTCCTCTCATCTCCTGCCCTGGACAGGAGGATTCTGTCCTTCTGGAGACAGTAGAGTCTGGTCATACTGCCACTTTTGTGTAGTGGTTGCCATTAACTAAGTGATTTTGTTTGATTCTGAATGTGCCATTGAATAGCAACAGAAAAATGCCTTCTCTTCTTTTCTCCGTCCTAATTATGGTTCCCTATCCCTGAGGACCAAAGGGTGACATGGCAGGAATTGTAGATGTGAAGGAAAGAGGTGCCGTTATTAGACAAGAGTCTGCACTTTTTAGTATGTGTGTTTGTACACGTAACACAGGCACATATACTGGCACATTGACAGTTGAAGAAGGCAATCCATTTGAATATCTTAAAAAGGGACTCAGATGATAGGGTTTGAAAAACCCAAGGTGACTAGTTATTTCCTATAAGGCAGCTAGATGGACACACTGTATCATGGCCCCATGGTCTGTTGTCCAAAAAAGAACTTGTTACTAGATTATTTAGGTCCTGTAAATTAAAAATAACTAAGATAAAGAATTCAAACTGTAGTATGCTAAATTTCCAGGTGATTTTTAGCAGCCTTAATAACATGGGTTGGTTGGCAATACTTTGACTCCAATTAAAATGTCTTCAGATTTAGCAGAAGTGACATATCCCATGTCATCTGAGTTAGGGTCAGCCAGTTAGAGCACACATTACTTTTGGAGCCCAGTTCTGACACTTACGGAAATCTAACAGACTGGGGAGAAGCGTCTTTCCTGGGAAACCATCTGTACTTTGAATATGAACCGTTCTCTCTCTTTTTTTGGATTATCTTCGGTACCTGGCTTAGTGTTGGACCCAGGGTTCAGTAACAGTTTCTGGACTGACTTACTTGGATGGATCATGCTCGGTGTCCTGTTAATGTCAGTCTTATAGGTGTTTGTACATCATCATTCGAGAGTATTTAATTTGCAAGGATTAATAAAGATTCTATTTTTACTTCTTCTGTCAAAAAGGATATTGACAATAGTTTAAACTAATCCACCATTGAATAAATAATGTAGGCCACAATATATTAAACTATTCTCTTGCATTTAAAGTTGAACATTTAATTTTATTTCATGTTTTTCTCAGTATTTAATATGTGTCTTTCAACCCTATTTTACAGCCCTTTAATTACTTATAAAATTATGTAGAATATTTCATGAAGTTGGGATAATTTTAGCTTCAAACTACTTGAGAAAATGAAGAGCTTGCTCATTTCAGGCCCAACTAAATACAACATAATTCTTTCAGTTATTTTGTTGGTCAACTTCAATTAAATATTCATTGAGCTTTAAATGAGACACTGAGACTATGAAATATTTACGTGCTCTGATGAGATTGGGAACTACAGACTGGATCCTGGTTAATACCCAGAGCAAATTATAAAGTGCTTTCTGCATTCGCAGTTCAACAAAATAAGTCAACACCTGTTAATCATTTTTCTTGAAAATGAGACACTTTCAACTCGTTGCCAGTTTTTCCAATAGCTTTTAATCATAGCAATATATCTAAGGTTACATTCTCAAGCAATACAAAGTAGAAATAAAGGCGGTCCCTTGGAAGGTGTATTAGTGTTACTCTTTGCACTAGATGCTGTTGGTGTGCACACAGATCCACGTTAGGGGTCAGGCGCCCATCCCCCACAGTGGCAGCAAGTGCTCTGGCCACCGCCTCACACCCACGACCCTCTATGGAGTGTTGCTCTTGGCCGTTGGGCATTGCATCACCCAGAGAGGTAACCTGGGAGGTTACATTGGCCCCTTCACCACAAGACGGGGTAGCAAATGGCCGACAATTTGTCAAGAGTGAAAGGCTGAGCTTCTTTAAGGTGGGACAACTCTGTGCTGTGATTTCGGCTCACAGCCCCTTGTGTGTTAGGCCTGTGCCGAACTTTGGGTGCGAATGCATTCCTGCTCGGATGATTTCCCTTCTCTTGGCTGTTTCCCTCACTCCCTTACAGGTTTCTCCCAAGAATGTGCCCTTAATCAATGACATGCGCTGAAATCCTTGTTGCAGGCTCTGCTTCTGTGGAGCCCAACCTGGGACAGCTTTCCAGTTTTTATCCCTAATTCTAAAAGTGACAAATCAGATCGCTCTGCTCAGGCAGACCATCTGACTACAAGCAGAGAAGGTGTCTGCAGTCCCCGCAAAGAGCCAGCGTTTATCATCCTGCACGGCCTTCGTGGCAGACGTTTCTAGCTGGGGATCTTTTCTTCACTCTCCCCTTCATTCTTAGGGAGAGAACGCCAGTTTTATTCAGGCTGGAGTTGTGTCTGCTACAAGGTGTTCACCTCCCCAGGGCTCCCTGCAGCTCGCTCGGCCACTTGACTCATTTCAGGCCAGTGACATGTGAATTAAGGTTTATCACATGGGGCCCCTGGGAAGGTTATTTTTCTAATTCAAAGAGTCAGACTCAGCTGATACGTTTTTCCTGCCCTTGGCCCTGCCTTCATTTTCCTGTCTGGATCTAGGACGTAGTTCCTTGGGGGCACAGTAGCCATCTTATGAGTCCAGCAGCGATAAAGGGGACCCAGGGCCCTGCGGGCACCATGCAGCCACTGTCTCCAACCTGGGCTCTCTCTCCCTCTCTGGACTTCTCATTCAGTGAGAAAAACCAGCCCCTATTTCAGAAGCTTTTAACCCAGGGAGGCCTTTGGAAATGTGTGGATGTGTTTTGGGTTGTCCCAATGACCGGAAGTGGCACTGGACTAGGGGAAAAGCCAGCGAGGCACTTGTCTTAGGTGCAGAATTTAAGGGGCACCCCAAAACTCAGTAATCAGCTAGATAGTATTTTAATGAAATATCTTAAAAACGAATGCCAAAATTCACGATGAATGAAATACCAATGTGTTAAATGAAGACAGGATCAGTCATTGCCATGTGGAGCCATATTGGAGCCCAAGGCAAAAAGCAAAATCAGTAGTACTGATTCCATCTTTGTTTAACGTGTTGATATTTTGTTCACCATGGATTTTTGGCTTAATTGTGGTGTTTGAAAGTGACTGGACCAGGGTCAGATCGGATCCAGAGGTGCTGCTGCTGTCTGTTAGCTGAAGGCCGACCGTGTATTTTATGTCCTGCCACGTGGGGAGGGCAGCCCCACTGGGGAGAACATTCAACCTGAAATGCCAGTACTGCTCCCTTTGAGAAAACACAATCCTTAATTAAAACCCCTGGTATCGGGAGGATTTATACAAATAGCCAAACATAATTTTGCCTGATCCTGCACCTACCACCCAAAGACTAGTTATTTCATTGAATTCATTTAAATACAAGCAGGCACATGGTCACTCAGCCAGTTAGTTCCAGCCAGCCTCCCAGCACCTCTGTCAGGCGAAGCAAGCATGGGTCATTGTTCTCATTCTGTAAATGAGGAATCATTGGCAAGAAGTGGGGCAGGGGCCAGGGTTCTGAGGCTGCCTGCTGGAGGCACCGAAATGAATTATCTTTGTGATGGTGGTTCTGTCTCTCTACCTCTCTGAGCCTCAGTTTCCTTGACCTTAATGCAGGGCTTGATTGGCTGGTTGCTAATGCCCTTTTACCGCTAGCAGTCTATGCCTGAGACTTTAGTCTGTGACATTTAGACTAAAGGCACATTCAGCTTGTTTATCCTTGAACTGAGCCCAGACCCTGGATCTCCTGGCCTGGGGCTCTTTCTAATTACATCAGGCACCTACTGCTTCATTATTGATTGAAGTTTGGCATTTAGTAGTTTACGATATGCTGCTGTTGCTGTGGTATATAATCTATCATTAAGCTGCTTTTTTAGAAATTCAGACTAGTTAGAAATACTCAAAAACTCAAATGACTGAATGAATGTTTTTTAATGACTTTCATCTGGATGTTAAGCATCATTTGTATAGACTCTACAATTATGCTCTCATTTCTTTTCATTTGTCAATGGCTCCTAGTTAGCCTAATTTGTTTGCTGATTTGCAAATGACTCTATTATTGTAAGTGGCGGGATAAAGGTTGATCCTAGGGGGTATGCATGCATTTAAAAATATTATTTCATTTTTTCCATCTACTAGAAACATAATTATAATCAAAACTACTGACCACAGAATTAGAATTTTGATAACTTTGCATTCATTGACATTAGATTTGTGGTGAGCTGATTGTTTCTTTGGTGCTGTGCAGATCTCTATATTTTGAACAATATAAAAAGAAAAGTTTAAAATATAACTTGATTTCTTGAGTCACCTTGATTATTTTTTTTTAATTGAACAACTTGGTTTATTACTCATTGCAGTGAGAGAAAACAAATATCCTGAGTGACTGGGATGTCTAAGTAAGTAGGTGTTAGAGAAGTCTTACTATAAGATTTGGGCTTGTATTAGGTAATTTTGGAGAGAACTTAAGAAAGTGAGGCCTTACTCTGCATTGGGTGCTGTTGGGAAGTGGGGATACTTCTGTGATGGTCTATCTTTTTTTACTGAAGTATAGTTGATGTACAGTATTATGTAAGTTACAGGTGTACAATATAGAGATTCACAATTTTTAAAGGTTATACTACATTTATAATTACTATAAAATATTGGCTATATTTCCCATGTTGTACAATATATCCTTGTAACATTTTATACCTAATAGTTTCTACCTCCTACTCCCCTGTTCCTGTATTATCCCTCACTGGTTCCCTCTCCCCCCTGGTCACCACTAGTTTATTTGTATCTGTGAGTCTGCTTTTTTTTTTTTTTGTTACATTCACTAGTCTGTTGTGTTTTTTAGATTCCACATACAAGTGATATTATACA